TCTGACTGCACATCAGAGTGTTGATGGGGGTCATCAGCGATATCAGAGTTTTTTCTGAGCCGGGGAACAGGGGCGCTGCGCCCTCTTACCAAAATCAATTCCTTGAATTAGGCTTTGATTATGTTCTGGCCCGCCATCTTGCGGCCCAGCAAAAAATTGGCCCACGGCCACACTTACTTGCCTACCCCTGCTGTAAACCATGGGTCGGCAATAGGCGGCCCGCGGGCCATTGGTGGCCCACCAACAATAATATTTGGCCTGGAAAATTATTTTGAGAATACAAATAAAATATTATTTAGAGTTTTTTTTTTAGTTTTTTTTTTTACAATATCGGACTGACAGTCACAAATATAGGCTATACTGTCCGAATAGAGAATCTACCTACACCTGAAGAATGCTTATTGTACTTTTATCCATGTTGAGAATGAATGACACACAGCACAGGCACAATCTGGTAGCGGGGTGCACTGACGCTGATAGTGGATCAATAAGTAGGTGGACAGCGCGTGGTGCTGAAATAGCCAACATGCCAAACATGTGGTTTGAAAAAAATAACACCAGCTCATTAAATCATTCAAACGTAATGTTTACTTATATGTGAACAGTAACAAAGTTCAGTCAAAACATTGACAACAAAATCGGAGAAGCCACTTGATCGTGGAGGGCGAGTGGTGGTGGTGCATATGCTGCCACCCCAGTTGGCAGCTTTGTTTTGAAAGAAAAGTTTTGGCTCATCGGACATTTATGAGAAAATCCCTAATGTCCGATAGCAAGTGAAAGCAGCACAAGACGCGAGCCTTGTAACCCCTCCCCCGGCCCTGGCGCGAGCATGGAAATGTGATTGTCATTTCAACGGGACTGCGCAAAACGAGAAGCATTCGGTCTACAATGACAGAGAAGAGACTGTCAAGTTTGGCTGTACTCAGCATTGATTCAAAGCGCACTAAAGCTTTGGATCTTAATAAGTTTGTGAGCAGTGGCGGACTGGCCATCTGTAGAATCTGGAGAATCACAGAACGACACTGCAGCGGCACCGCAGCGAGGCTCCCCCGTTGACAGTTCACTAGTGGGTGGCGGTGACGAGGCGGTGCCAATCACGTTCGCCATTCCAGTGGGGCGGATGGCGGGGACTTCTCGTTGTCGGGCAAGGACCTCAGTAGAAAATCAGCCCTTTCTGTGTCAGCCCCCCATGGACCAAACTTCCTGTTTTGGAAGGTTTGGCAGCAGAGTAGGCCGCCAGAGAGTGCTACAGCTTCTTAGCTGCGACTCCATAGATACTTGCAGGTCCCCTAACACAGTCTTACGGCCCGTCCACACAGCGGCGTGCGTTGACGCTTGCCGGCGGGCGTGTCTGACACTCGACCAACAACCAATCACATGAATCTCCCGCCCCTGACACACAAGCAGCGGTTTGATTGGCTAGAGCTTGTACTGGCATATGATTCGATTGGCTGACGCCTCCGTCGAGGCGTCAAAAGTTGAACATTGCTCAACTTTTGAAGCGAGCAACGCCAGCAACGCTCCACGTCGCTTCCCAAAATGCAGTTCGGCTAAAAGTGACGTCACCCCATTCAAAGTGAATGGGCAGAAGCGTTGGAAGCTTCAACGCACGCCGCTGTGTGGACGGGCCGTTATGGGGAATGGAAGCGTAACTATGTACTGACAGAATGGATGGACAGGACACTGAAACTGGGGTACTCACTCCAGTTTTGCAGCTTCCCTCCTCCATTCAGGGGTTTAAGAGAGGCAATTCTATCATCCCAGGAGGAGATAGGTTTCCTTTCAACAGAGATTCAGGCCCTGTTGCAAAAACAGGCTGTGGCTGTTGTGCATTCTCAGGACAGAGAAAAGGGGCTTTTCCACAATGTACTTCCTGGTTCCCAAGAAGACAGGAGAATTCAGACCCATTCTGGATCTTCGCAGCCTGAATCACCACATTGCCTGCAAAAAGTTCTATATGTAAACCAATTACTGGAACTAGGGCAGCCGGGGGATTGGTTCACAACCATCGACCTGAAGGACGCTTACTTTCATGTTGAAAATTGCTCCAAAGCACAGAAAGTATTTGTGTTTTGCCTTCCAGGGGGTAGCCTACGAGTACAACAGACTACCGTTTGGCTACTCCCTATCCCCACGCACGTTCAGCAAATGTGTGGCCACAGCGCTTCAGCCGCTGCGTGACCATGGCATGAGGGTTTTGTAATACGACCTCATAGTCATGGCCAGGTCCAGGGAAGAGGCAAACACAGCCCAATAGGCTACATGCACAGTCACTTCCGCATTCTACTCAAAGCGGCCGATTCATTTCCTGTTTGAAAATGACGACCTTTTACACCTGCATGCCTACAAGAGCTTCCGAAATTAAAAATGTCAGATGTTCATTGGATTTGCCGGACGACTAAAGCCCCAGCCATCAAACTCCATAAAGGCTTCAAATTATATGCTGCGGCATATATACACAACTAAGAAGGTAACTGGAGTAACAGGTTCTAACCAGCTAGCTTATGCTCCAGGTTACGCTAACGTTAGCTGTCAAAAGCTAGGTAACGCCAGAGCCCTATAGTATAACTACTATTATACTACTACTATAGTAGACTACTATAGGGCTCTGGGTAACGCTATGTACTGTTTCTGGTGTTAATTCTTTAAAACATTAGCCATTTTGCTAAAAAATACTATCGTTTAATAGCCGTATAGCCTAGCCAACTAGAGGTTGTCTTGTTGTTAGCCACACTGCATAATGGTATCAGCTTTTGTAAAGCAATGTTGCCATAGATGTTTTGAGGTGAGTATAGATCTAACGCTGTTGCTCTGTTTTTCTTAATTCAGTGTCCAATAAAGACAGGCTGACAGGGCAGGTCAGCGTGAGAGCCTTGTGCTACAGGTCAATGAGGAAGAGTGAGACAGCACACAGTTTGAGTGTAGGCAGGCAGCATTGACACTGTTCCCCCCTGTTTATTGAGTTTCAGTTCAGTTAAACATTAGTTTACCTTAAGGGAATCTCAACAGTGTCCTACTTCTCCCTGCTTTATCACAGCTGATTGGTCAGATATTATTACATTGATTATGGATATGTAAGTTTGGGGGTTCAAATATAGTAAAAACTGCTTTAATACAATTTTCAAGGCATCTTAGTTTCCAAAGAAAGTTCATTGTGGTATTGTAGGGTAAGAGGGTAACACTAAGCATTCAGGAATACATGCTTCTTCTAGGATAATGGGTCAGTAAAAATAACCAATAATTCTACTCATAATAACCTCCTGGCTCATTTACCACAAGTGAGGTTACTAATCACTCGTATTTCTTCTCCCTTTTTTAGATAACGCTTCGTGATTCATCACCAGTGGTGCTCACGCACAACCAGTGCTCCTGTGTTGCAGGAACTGTTTTGTGCAATCACACAGTAGCATTGCTGTTCCAAACAGCACACTACACTGAACATGCCAGTTGTGCCGCCTGTGCATAGCTGTACTGAATCGGAACAGCAATGGCACAAGCCGCGAACAATGGTAATTTCAATGAGGTTCAAATACTTGTAATCTTTCACAACGTTTTTGTTTTAAAGTGACTCAACGAAGAGTAATTGTCTTTTCCTTAAGGGTGTGAAGTCAGGGCCCATCAACTCCATGGTCTTCACCAAGCCTGTACCAAATAGGATGGTGCAGCCTGGAGTAAGGTCATTTTAGCTGGAAAATTGTGTTTCCTGTGTTTTTAAAATTCATAATGATATTCTGGTGCTGTATTCCTTACCTTTATTGTCACATTAATGTGCTATATTGTCTTTGGCATTCTTTGTAGGAGTGGATTCTACAGAGGCATGGTGGGGCCATTACCAGATCCCTGCCTGTTCAGAGTTACGGAGGCATACTCAGCATTCAGCATTGAAGACAGACCGCTTGTGACCACAATGAACATGAGACCTGACAAGCCCCTTGTGGAAAGTGCCTTCGGGATGGTGCAGGAGGGCAGTGTTCTGTCCTATCAGATGCCTGCTTTGACGTCTCGGTAGACCACACTTCACACTGACACACCACCAACACCCCACTTGCCCATAGAGGGGTATGTGATCTTGCCATGTGATTTACCGCTGGTGTGCTTACAGCTTATCTGTTGATTTGGAAATGTCTCACAAAATTGAGGAGGCTACCCGTGAGCAAAGCTCTAGCTCAGAATGGCATCTGCTCCGCAAACCCAGGGTTACTGCCTCTAGGTTTAGAGAGATTTGTCACGTCAGAGGTGAGAGCTCTGCTAACTCTCTTGCTGAGTGAATACTCAGGTACAAGGCAGACTGCAGAAATGAGGAGAGGTGCAGAGATGGAGCCCACAGTAGCTGAATACTGGCAAAGACTGGCAAACGTGAACTACTCCCCTTGTGGCCTTGTAATTCACCCCTCTACGCCCTGGCTTCGTGCCTCCCCTGACGGAGTTATTTTTGACCCAACAGAATATCCCCAATTTGGCCTTGTTGAATTCAAATGTCCCAATGTCCCAAATTATGTCGACTGCAAATATGTGCAGATGGAATGTGGCTCCCCTAAGCTCAAGAAAAGCCATGCCTATTACTGGCAAGTACAGGGTCAACTTCTTGTATCTGGGATGCAGTGGTGTGACTTTGTAGTGTGGGCACAGGAGGACTACCTGGTGCAAAGAATATACACAGATCCAGAAGTGCAAAGAGCAATCAGAGAAAAAGTAGACTTTTTTTTTTTTTACACATACATGCCGAAGTACCTGTCATTAAAAAAGTAGTGGACACTGTAGCCATTGTTAACTCTGTAAGCAGTTAGCTGCTAGACCCTGGCTCAGCCGTCATTGTTTTTAGGAGGCAATCCCTCAATCATATGTTCTGAATGACAACAAAATGTGATATATATTGTTTGTCACATTTCATATACGTAAATACATATACAATTGTATTTAAAAAGACAATAAAGTGAAGTGATTTTTTTGTAATGAATAGTAAATCATTGCATTTGTAAGAAATCATCAACGCATTGTAATTAGCTATTTACCATTTATTCAAACAAAACACTATCGTGTGTTAGGCAACACGGGATTACGGTGTGCTCACCCAGCTTAATCACAGCTACCTGCACAGGTGTCATCATCTTGTCTTATTTCACCCATTTCTTGACCAGTGCTTTGTTCTGATAGTTTGACAGCATACATGCAAACAGTTAGTTGATGTTGTAGGCATGGGACAGGAGGATGACACCATCAAAAAGTTTGTTCTCTTTTATCCTCCTAATGACACGCTCCACATGAACCCTCAGTCTGGCAATGGCCTGTGTCTCCCTCACCTGATAGGCTGGCATTTGCTTCTGCTTTGACAGAAAAGGTGGGCAGTACACCTTGCATTTGCAGCAATCGCTGATCAGGAAGCCCTTATCTACCATCACTGCCATGTTTTCAGTCAACAACGCAGCTATTCCAGACTGTTTGAAAATCTCCTTGTCGCTGACAGAACCACCATACAGACTGGAAACAAATGTCACTGCGCCATGTGGGGCTATGCCAACCAGGGCTTTTATGGTGCAGTGAGATTTGTATGTAGAATACATTTCACTTTGGAGGAGGAGTGAGGATGGTGTTTGACACCTCAGCTCTGTGCAATCCAGGATCACCTGTGTGTCTGGGAAATCTTTGAATGCCTCTGGGAGGTGGGCTTGAACTTCTGCAGGTGTAAGCCAGATGCACTGTGACCCCAATAAAGTTGTAAGAAAACTCGTCCATGTTGCAATGATGCGGCTCACAGTGGACTGGTGTACGTTGAAGCGGTTTGCAAGGTGCCTCTCTTTCAAACCCACCGACAGGAAGCAGAGAAAAAGGAAGAACTCGTCAATTGGCTGAAGCAGCTGTCTGTGGAAGATACAAACAAAAAAAGGGTACTATATTAATGTCATGAGTGTAGCACACCATGGGAAAAACATTAAGTTGTTTTAGTTCTCTGATGTATTCAAAAAGGATTGAGTACTTTAGCCTTTTAGCCTACACAAAAGCAATGAAATGTCGGAGAAACATTTTCCTTCAGTTTGTGTTTAGATTGTGTGTTAAAAGAAACGTAGCCTACCGTTGATGGACGTGCGTGTGTAACCACTTCTTCATTCCTCTTGGCAGCTGATATCGCTCTTGTAACACGAACCATTTTATAAATGGAGGCTCAATCAAAAACCAGAAGGCCATCAGGTGGTTATAGCTCGGGAATCTGTACACAAAAGACACATGTCAGTCATTAATTGACACAGTAAATACAGTCGTTAACTGTAACACATGGGCTAATGCTGTCCTCTTGTTTGCTATAATACATTACAATTCAAATAGACTGATTCAGAAGGCACTTGGTGCAGGTATAGTAATATACAGCAGTAAAATGTAACAACTACATTAAAGCAGCAGTAATAATAATCTAAAACATACAGGGAACATTTTACACACAATGACTACTTTTACTCTTCATTCTTAAGTGTGCAACTGGGGGAAACGCAGTGGATATTGACATACTTTTACTTTGGTAAGGTTTTGAAGATTTCCACTTGTAGTAAAGTATTATCAGAATGTTGTTAGTATTAGTATGTTTTACTCCACCACATTTAGTTAACCTTCATAGTTTACTTTTTATATATGAAAACACATGATTTATGATTCTACATGTTCAGTTCAGGAGTATTTTCAAACCATAGTATTTGTAGTTATACTTCAGTTAAGTTGAGTAGCCTACTTATTCCAACACTGCATGCATATAATCAGCAGTCAAACGGCAGGTAAACAGGATTCTTTATAAGCTAACCCATCTCAAAAACTTGGATAGAATTTAGCCAAAACATTACCTGGTATAGAATCGGATGTTGTCGTCGGAGCCAGCAAACCGCTGTAAGCAAAACTGTTGCTGGACTCTTAACTCCTGCAGTTGCTTCTGCAGATCCTCCACTCTTTTGGAGTTGTCTTCTGTAGCTTGAGAGGACATGTCCAGTGTAGCTGGTTCAGGGGTTGAGCAGTAATCATGGTCACGGACATCGATGTGATCTTCCTGCTCCTCCTGAGAGACTGGTTCAGTGGGCCGCTCCCTTCTCTCCCAAACACTAGCCGCTCCCAAACACTAGCCAGCGGTGTTTGAGCAGTAAAGTGATTCCACTCAAACAGAGTTGGTACAGCACCTTTCACAAGCCTCCTACGGCCATCAAGGGTTTTTGGCTCTATTAGTTGATCCGTAGCGAAGTGACGACTGCAGACCTTGGAGTGAGAGGAGATTGTAAAGTTATCGCGTCATATTTTAACCAGCCACTGTCTTCGCAGCTCGAGTTCGGTCGGAAAGCCATGGAAACTTAGGACGCCGTTGAATTTAGCTGACACCGTACAAAGTGGGACACAGCAGTGCTCGGAGTAGTTCTTTACTTGTCTTTGCAAATGCTCCATTTTGAAAATCTTCCGTCGACTCATATTTAAACGATTAAACAGTAAAACATTTGTGGACGCTCAGCTACGCAGACCGGAAGCAAACCGGAAGCTGCCGAGCCATATTACGGCTAAGGCGGAAGTACGTCTCAGACCCTAGTGCATGTAGCCTATTGATCCAAGTGGATTGCAGTCAATTGGAAGAAGAGCAGTCCCATAACTCACCAGCAGGTGGGGTATCTGGGGATTTTTGCTCGATGCAGGCAGACTACGTGCCAACCTGTCAGAGAGCAGACAGGCATCCCTGCTTCAGGCAGTTTGCAGACTGCGACAGGGGGCAACGGTGACAGCTTTGACCATCATGCAGACTCTGGGTCTCATGGCGGCTGCTCCCCTCGTGGTACCGCTGGGGTTACTTACTCGCCTGCAGAGGTGGTTTTCCGGCCTTCGTTTAGATCCCAAGAGGCACAAACAACGTCTGGTGGATCAATCAAAGAAAAGTACCGGAGGAACACAGGATTTAATTCTGCGTGGACAGAGTTATATGCTTTCACAGAAAACGATGCTGGTTTACCAGTATGTTTGATATGTAGAGAGAAGTTTATGGAAGCAAACAAGAGACAGAAGTATTTTAATTTTATTAGACACCGAATTTATAGCATTGAAAATAATTACTTTGAAAATCATGTATCTGAATTTTTTTGCTCCGAATTTACCTATGTGAAATAAAATGTAAAAATTCAAGTTAAAAAAATTTGAATGTTCAAATTCAGATCCCAAAAATTCAAGTGAAAAAAATTCGAATGCACAATTTCAGTGTTAAAAAATTCGACGTAAAAAATGTCAGTGTATACAATTCGATGTCCAAAATTGCGATGCAGCATCATCCGGGCTACTCAGACAGGATAAGCAATCGAGCCCGAATGCAATCAAACCAACTTCTGGCCTATCAGAGCACAGCTTTGTCAGTCATGTGATAACAACAACCCGGGAGAAAAAGGACGGAGAACAGCCTGGGGCTCGGGTAAGTAGTCAGTTCGTGCTATTTATTTTACAAGCAGTGAGGGCTTGACAGCATTTGTATCTTACATTAGCTAAATGAGTGAAGTAGCCTTGTGTCTTGCTGTTAGCAAGCTCCGTAGTTATCATTAATTGAAGTGAATCACAACGTTACCGTGTCCTTTTGTGTGTGTCTCACTTCAGTTAGATAAGTCAAGTAGACCATGCTACACTATACAAATACTCTTACAAAAGCCCTGCATTTAAACATGTTAATGTTACTTTAGTAAAAGTATGCTAGTTAAAGTATTTAAAGTAGACACAAGTTATACTATTATATTATATCATTTGTTTTATTATTACCGATGCAAAAGTTGACTAAACTGTTGTAGTTGGAGCTCATTTTGAACAATGAGCTAACTAATGATTACTTTCATAATGGTTTAATGTGCTGATTATTTTCTATATTAATATATGAAGGTCTGGTTTGTTCAAACTCTCAAAATAGTAGGACATGCTGTCATAATTACCCAGAGTCCGAAGTGACACCTTTACAATGTTAAAGCTGTTAGATAAATGGAGTGATGTAAAAACTAAAATATTCAAGATAGTGTAGTGGAAAAGAGATAATGTTAAAAACATGTTACTAAAACAAAATCTCTTGTTTTGGACTGACAGTAATGATTCAAGAAATAGTAGATAAATAAATAATACACACACATCAATCTGTGTGCATTTGTTGTGTGTGGAACACAACAAATGGTGCTCTTACCTGTGATGCCTCCTCCAAACATTATAACCAGACTGTATCATTCAAACTATAAGTAACAGTTCTAGCTACTTGACTTTAGACAAATAATTCAAAAGACAAAATCAACACAATTTATTGAAAGACCAATCTTTATTTTACGGTGCCTCTCCTTTTGTTTGTGTTATTAAACCCTGTCAATCTAAAAAACTGAGCAACTCAACAGTTAACTTTATATTTCTTATTGTCCAAAGCATCTATTACACTATTTTTTCCCCTCTCATATTCACAGGATAGACGATTAGAGACTTTGGGGGAAACCTCAGCTTTATGAACGTCCTGTCTGTTGGTTTGGCCAGAGAGGGCTGAGGGTCTTTCCCTGCGAGGAGGACCAGGCCTGAGGGAGGAGGACCTGCACCAGCTGCACCTGCAGAACTTAGCCCATGCTGGGCATAGCTGTTACCACCTGCACAGGCCTAGCCTGTCAATTAACAGATTAACATTTTGTGTAACTTATGTATATTATTTCGTTTTTATTTAAAACAAATGGTGATGGTTCATGCTTGATAACTTTTAGTTCACATTTCAATAAATTGTATTTGTACTCCTTTTGTCCGTTATTCTTACTGAAAATGTTTATAGGCCTGACAATAATCACACTGTCTCTGAGGTGCAACGTAAAACACAAAAACTAGACTACAAAACTAGTCAGTGTGCAGGTCTTTGTGTTACAATATAAGTGTCTCTTAGTGAATGTCCTGTACTGCTCTTAAATCTCATAACATCAGCTTTTCCTTTCCCTCTTGTACCTCATTCACACCAACGCAACTCCGGTTCAAGCTCCGTGCTAGAGCTTATTAGGTTCAGAACTGCTTCTTCGGATTAGCTCCGGCTCTTTTCACACTGCCCAGAGTCCGACTGGTGCTGTGTAATTGCGTCATCGTTTGCGTCATGACGTAACCGTTTGCGTGCCTGCTTCATAAAGCCAAACCGTGCGGAAACCCCTCACAGCTGACACCGACAACAACAAAAATGGCCGATTGTGCTCCAGCTTCCTCTGTACCTCTTCGGAAGACCAGATTCCCAGTAGGTAGCTGGTCTCTTCAGTGGACCACTGCTGCTTGTTAAGTTTCTCCATCGTTGTGTACAAACGGGATAAAACGCGGGCTTTTTGTTGTTGTTCAGGAGTTGATCTCGCCCCTGCCCCCGCCTCGACGTAAGCGTGACGTATATGGTGCTTTTGCTCTGGCCGGACAATTGTTTGGTGCTCGAAATGAACCGGATTCCGGAGCTACACTGAACAAAAATATAAATGCAACACTTTTGTTTTTGCTCCCATTTTTAATGAGATGAACTCAAAGATCTAAAATATGTTCTATATACACAAAATAACCATTTCTCTCAAATATTGTTCACAAATCTGAAAAGATCTGTGATAGTGAGCACTTCTCCTTTGCCGAGATAATCCATCCCACCTCACAGGTGTGGCATATCAAGATGCTGATTAGACAGCATGATTATTGCACAGGTGTGCCTTAGGCTGGACACAATAAAAGGCCACTCTGAAACGTGCAGTTTTTTACATTACATTACATTGCATTTAGCTGACGCTTTTATCCAAAGCGACTTACAATAAGTACATTCGACCAGGAAGGCAAGGCAAGGCAAGGCAAGTTTATTTATATAGCACTTTTCAACACAAGGCAATTCAAAGTGCTTTACAAAAAATGAAAGAGATTAAGAAAATGGCATTTAAAATCAGTCATTAAAAAGAAAAGCTAATAAAATAAACATTAAAAGAAAAAATACATGGATAAAAGTTACAGTGCAATTAAACATTAAAAGAAAAAAAAGGAAGGAAGACACAACCTTGAAGAAAACAGAATCATATAAGTACATCAGGTTTCATAGAGCCAAACATTTCAAGTGCTACTCAACTGGCTTTAGGTAAGCCAGTCCTTTATTAGTATAAAAGTGCTTAATAGTTCTAACGCTCGAAGTGGAGTCGAAAGAGATGAGTTTTCAGTTTGCGCCGGAAGATGTGCAAGCTATCTGCCGTCCTGATGTCAATGGGGAGCTCATTCCACCATCCTGGAGCCAGGACAGCAAACCCACGTGTTTTCGCCGATGGGAACTTGGGTCCCCCTCGCAGCGAGGGTGCAGCGAGTCGTTTGGCTGATGCAGAGCGTAGTGCACGCGCTGGGGTGTACGGTTTAACCATGTCCTGGATGTACGAAGGGCCAGATCCATTCGCAGCATGGTAAGCAAGTACCAGTGTCTTGAAGTGGATTCTAGCAGTTACCGGAAGCCAGTGAAGGGAGCGGAGGAGCGGAGTGGTGTGGGAAAATTTAGGAAGGTTGAAGACCAGACGAGCCGCTGCATTCTGGATGAGCTGCAGAGGTCGGATGGCACATGCAGGTAGACCAGCCAGGAGGGAGTTGCAGTAGTCTAGAGGTGAGATGACGAGAGCCTGGACCAGAACCTGAGTCGCTTTCTGTGTCAGCTGGGGACGTATCTTCCTGATGTTGTAAAGCATGTATCTGCAGCAACGGGTTGTAGCAGCGATGTTTGCAGTGAAGGACAGGTTGTTATCTAGGGTCACACCCAGATTCCTTGCAGTCTGAGTCGGGGAAACAACTGAGGTGCCAATGTTGATTGTTAGGTCAAGAGTGGGACAATCTTTTCCCGGAAGGAAGAGCAGCTCAGTCTTGTCAAGGTTGAGCTTGAGGTGATGAGCAGACATCCACTGAGAGATGTCAGCTAGACAAGCAGAGATGCGTGCGACGACCTGGGTCTCTGAGCGGGGAAAGGACAGAATTAATTGGGTGTCGTCAGCGTAGCAGTGGTAAGAAAAACCATGCGGGCTAATGAC